AAGTCATTTCGGCATCATTTAGGAATGATCTTTTTGAGGAGTGGACATTATTAAGCCATTTCAGATTCCCTCCGAAATATTATTGGCAATGTTTCCCTTCCTCTCCTTCTCCCTTGATGGTGAAATGAAGAGAGCTTGAAGTTCAGAGGCTTCATTAGAATGATTAAAAACTTGAGAAGCATTCACTTTTTACTCTTGCTACAGCCACCCTATTTTGACAATTATCTTCAGTTGGATTATAATCGGAATCTAATTGGGCTGGATATTATACTCTTTGAAAACGAATTAGAGATAAAAACTTGGAAATGACAATGATGCTGGAAAAATTGGAGGCCCGACTCTAACCCTAAATAAATCCTTTCATGCAAACAGTGATAGACACTATAGGCTTGTTATCTCCTAAGAAAACATACATGCTTCTAGCCTCAAGGCATTTGTGCATTTTTTAAATTAGCAACTTGTTTCTACTTCTGATTAAAAATTCAGACTATGTTCCAAATTTTGGAGTGCATAAAGAGGTGTCATATTGAGGTATCACTTTGGTATTTAGCCAAAGTCTCATTAAAAGTTTGAGCAGATCAATGTAAGTGTTTGTCGAGTAGTAAAAACTTGTTTACTGATTTAAAATTGCAGAATGGAGATAATTGATTTATCAACCATTTTCATCCAACATTGCTGGCTAGTGAAATATCCATGAAGAGAAAACGCCTCGAAAATAGTACTTTTGCCAGGCGTATCAATATTTTTTAATCATTTCATGGTGCTCAGCTGTTGATTCTTAATAGTGACCCTGAAATTTCAGCGGTTTCATCTAACATTGCTGACCAGTGAAATACCCATGAAGAGAAAACGCCTCGAAAATAGTACTTTTGCCAGGTGTATCAATATTTTTTAATCATTTCATGGTGCTCAGCTGTTGGTTCTTAATAGTGACCCTGAAATTTCAGCGGTGAATCAACTGGTCAATATTCTTTCTGCTCCACTTTCTTTTCTGCTTATCTTTCTCTCTCACTTTATACTGAAAAGTGTTAGATAGATACCCATCGATGCTAAATCACTTTGGTATTTACCCAAAGTCTCATTAAAATTTTGAGCAGATCAATGCAAGTGTTTGTTGAGTAGTAAAAAATTGTTCACTGATTTAAAGTTGCAGAATGGAGATAATTGATTTATCAACCATTTTCATCCAACATTGCTGGCTAGTGAAATATCCATGAAGAGAAAACGCCTCGAAAATAGTACTTTTGCCAGGCGTATCAATATTTTTTAATCATTTCATGGTGCTCAGCTGTTGATTCTTAATAGTGACCCTGAAATTTCAGCGGTGAATCAACTGGTCAATATTCTTTCTGCTCCACTTTCTTTTCTGCTTTTCTTTCTCTCTCACTTTATACACAAAAGTGTTAGATAGATACCCATCGATGCTAAATCACTTTGGTATTTAGCCAAAGTCTCATTAAAATTTTGAGCAGATCAATGCAAGTGTTTGTCGAGTAGTAAAAAATTGTTCACTGATTTAAAGTTGCAGAATGGAGATAATTGATTTATCAACCATTTTCATCCAACATTGCTGGCTAGTGAAATATCCATGAAGAGAAAACGCCTCGAAAATAGTACTTTTGCCAGGCGTATCAATATTTTTTAATCATTTCATGGTGCTCAGCTGTTGGTTCTTAATAGTGACCCTGAAATCTCAGTGGTGAATCAACTGGTCAATATTCGTTCTGCTCCTCTTTCTTTTCTGCTTTTCTTTCTCTCTCCCTTTATACTCAAAGGTGGTAGATAGATACCCATAGATGCTAAATCACCACTTCAAAATAAATGTACATCACTTCATGTATTACTTGTATCTACTACTACATTCAAGAGAACATTATTAATTTTTAACTAGTATTATTCTGTCAGAAGATGTCCTAATTTTAATGCGCTTAATTTCCTTTCACTTCTTCTTTGAATATCTCTCTTCATGTGTGCTTAATGTCTTTCTTTACTCAAAAGGAGTAAAAAGACTAAAGGAAAAAAAGGAAATTTAATTTCCAATTTGTACCTTTGTTTTTTTTTTTTTTTTTTTTTTTTTTTTTTTTTTTNGTCCAATACATTTTTCTCATTTTACAATTCATCCTGTGTTTTTATTTGAATGAAGTTGCTGAAATGTTTAGCAATTTCGAAAAAAGGTCCTCAGTGTTTCCCAAGTTTAGTTTAAAATTTAATGAAGACGGTAAAAAAAGAAGTATATTGAATTGCATTGTTGGAAATTTGCTGCAACATTTTATTTCAAAAAGCATATCATCATTTATGCTTGACATTTTCCATGAATTTGTCTCAAGCACCTGTGAATACCCTTTTCAAATGTTATGCAAGAATATTTCTTTTTGACAAAAGGATAAAGAATTAGATAGGAAAAGTATTGTAACCCTGCAATTCATATACCTACATGTTTTTTTCTTGAGTTTAGCATCGATATGCAAAAATATTTTTCATGGGAAATGTTTTATGTAGTGAAGCTTGGCTTCTTATACGGATTAAACTTGACCAGTCTATAGACAGGGCGCTGTTAATACCAAGTAACTACCAAGAAGCATGAACTGCATTCACCTCACTTTCTTACGCAGGTGTTTGGGTTTTGAAGTATGCATTTATCATTAAAGGGCATTTTTACTTCTGAAAGATACTTCACCAAAGCTTACAACTGTCTTGCTGACCTTGAATATTCAACTAAAAAATGTAAATATACATATATGAACCATATAAAATTACAAATTTTCATATACCTTCCAGTATTTCTTATAATGCAGCTACGAGTGTATTCAGCTTCATGAATTTCATCACTTTGATCACTGCTGTCTAGATGAAAACTACAGAAAAATGGAGAGAATAAAATGAAAATGAAATGGGTTTTTTTCCAGCAAGAGAGGCTTTTTTTAATGGTGAAAATGATTTTATGATGACGTGCCAAAGGGGTGGGAGTCCAAAAATGTATGAGCTTAAGTATGTGTTGTTATTTAATGTCCAGCATGGCTTATGGGTATCTTTGAACTTGCACCTTTCTCGCATTACAAATGCTAAAATTAATTCATTTGATATTTAGTTTTACAAACAACCAAGACAATAGATCTAAAACGTATAAGCAGTGGAAGACATGACTAACATTGGCTGCTAGAGCTCATGAGTTTTTGAACTTTCTCCCTTTTCGCTTATCAACTGTGGAACTCCCAAACCATGTAGGTATCTCGCTTTGTGACATTGCAGACCTCCTGTTATTCTTTTTTCAACAGAAAAGCTACTAAATGTCAGCTCTTAAAAAGTTCCAAGATCTTCTTCTAAGTATGTGCAAAGGAAATGCCAGAAAAACTTCAGAGGATGATTTTTAATTTGTTCTTCTTTAAAAAAATGAAATAGGAGCGGAGATCTTAAAACACCGCTAACGAGACACCTGATTGGGAGTTTCACCACTGATAGGTATCTCAATTTTTGTAAAATAAGACACTTGAGTTTCATAAGAATGTAGCTTTACAACTGTCCATTTCATTTCAATGTAAGTAGGTTCCTCATTTTGCAAAGAAATAGTGAGTTAATATAGCCTTAGTAACTCAAGTCTAATTTATATCAAAGGGATTGTGTATAAACATTGAAACAATATTACTCCTAAATTAAACTAAAATAAATATTGCAGAGGGATGTTGTTTGAACACTCCAAGGTCCAAGCATATATAGTGTTAGTACTAGTTTTTGGCCACGATCCTTCAATTCGCTGTGACATGATCACTTCTAGGGGTTTCCCCTTGGTCAAATTGTTATATAAACGGTGATGACTGCGGTAAGATTGTTGCAACCATACTTGAGATATCACTAAGAATATTTCATGGGATTGTCGTAACATATCTCATTAATTTTGCGATGAATTTCAAAAGTCAAATTATAGCAACACGGTTTCAATGTTAACAAGGGAATAGTGCGTAGCTTTAATGCTCAGGGGTGATGCCACCCCTTCTTTATTGCAGGGTGGGTTATATTTTCAATCAATTGATTTTCCGTGTCCTTCCTTCATTTTTCTCTACTCTTTTTATTTAGGAAAGGTCATAGGTTCAGGCCTCCTTGGGTGCTATTATTTTTCTTCGAATTAATAAAATAAAGTTTGAGCAGTTTCGTTAGGAGCTAATATTAGTTTCCTTTTAGCATTTTGCAAGGCTGAGAAATCCTCAACATGGAAAACGATACCTACTTACCACTAAAAGAGGTAAGTCACTTTACCTCATTTGCACCAATTCTTCATGGAGCAAATTACCAATACCATTTACTTTTAGGGAATGAACTGCAATGTCAGCTTCTCGATGATAGTTTAATTAGACTAAGTCCACAGTTGTTTGTAGGAATGAGCAAGAAAATTTGGTGCCTTTCTCATAGTGCCATCCATGTGCTTAATTTAATTGATGAATAAACATCAAGTCTAAAGGTCTGATAATACTCTTGACAAAAGCATTAATTATTTCACTGGAAATCTCCATGTGATGAAGAGGTAGGTATGCAAAAGAATCTCAGAACTGTTATTGCAAGGATGAAATATGGAGACTTGTGAGCTGAGACCAGCACTTACCAACATGTCCCTATTTCATTAATGAGGCAAGTAACAGATCTTGAAGAAGAAAAAGAAAGGAAGGGTACCTGGTAGAAGGTTGGGCAATTGGGGACAAGGGCATACGAGCAATTTTTGCCGAAGAGTTGGGAGATAACGTCTCTGATGCTGTTCGCTTTTCTTGAGGTGGGGAGGGACATTCAATAAGAGAGTTTATTGAGGGGTTTTTGATGCCTCTTTCTAACAGGCTTTCGTTGAAATGGCAACTGCAGACCCTACAATTGGGTTTCGGTTCTCTCCCCGGTTCTCTGGGAAAAATCATAAGGGACAA